AAATGTTGTCATCATTTACTTGCCCTTTATGATTTTGAACACACAAGATATTTTGAAGAATGCTGGAAACCTGCATCCATTCACTTAGTGTTTGTTTTCCTACTATGAAAGTCACTGCTTTTCAGCTTTCTTCCAAATGTCATCTTTAGTGTTCTACACGAGAAATAAACTAATAAAACGTTTAAAATCCCACAAGGGAGAGTAAATAGGGAGTGCATTTTATTTTGGGGTAAATTGTCCCCCTGTTAAAACAATAAACTAGAAATTGCAATTACATTCTTTTCTGAAATACTTCAGCCCTACTAAAAATACAAGACTAAATTCAAGACCGTAAAAGACTTAGGACTGTAAATGTTGCCTAATTTAGGAAACAAATCCCGCTTGTTAAGTCATGATGCATGAAAAACAGTTTCTGGGTCCAAGCTGCTACTCATTTGAATAATAATATTTTCAACAGGATGCGTACAAGTAATATATTTGTGCATTTACACTAGATCCAAACTCGGTCCTGGAGGGCCGGCGTCCTGCAGATTTTACCTCTAGCTTGCTTCAACACACTTGCAAGGATATTTCTAGAAAGCCCTGTAAGAGCTTGATTAGCTAGCCCAGGTGTGTCTGATTGAGGATGGAACTAAATTAATCTAAGTCTGGACATCCCTGCATTAGATTAATCAGTACCAAAGGCAAAACTGATGAACAAATCTAACAAAAAACTGAATATCACGGTCCAAAAAATTAACACATGGGGTAAAAATGTTAAATAAAATTGTAATAAACAGTAAAAATCCAGAGAAACATAAACAATATCAAATTCAGTTGACTAATTTTGTAGTTTAACTGGTTTAAATGCATGAAGATGTTGAGTGGCAAACTCTTATTTTAATGCATATAACTCTTTAATAAAACTAAAATACATCATCTATATTCACTGAGAAATAGATCTAAATATTGCTTTTCAACAGGAGGTATCCTCAGTTATGCTGAGCACTCTACATATTTATGCAACTTTGCCAAAGTACAATTCGTGCTTGAACCTGTTGGGGATTTCAGGTCGTTCTGGCCTGGACACATTCATCTCACCTTGTCTGATAGGTGACACATTTCGCCTCAATCTCTGCAGCGGCGTCTTCATTACCGCACAACATGTGTTATTGAGCTCCTACATCAGTCAGTGAATGGTCTGAATGTGTTGTATGTGGGCTCCAGCAGCTGTGCGCTCCCGTTGCATTCGTCATTTTCTCAGCGCACAGTAAGACTTGGCTTCAGCTCTCCGAATGCTTCCATTACATCCCATCTCTCCGGTTTCATTGTAAACTGCTAGTAATATAAACTGCAGAGAGCTCCTGTTTACTCCACAGCTTTACGGCTGTGTTGTCTTCAAATGGTGGTTTTGCATTACTCTGCCACTCACTGTCCAAATTTACACTCTGGCAATGACCGTCGATGTGTTTTTCTTGGTATGCTGATGGGCAGCAAATATCTAATACTTTGCTGACGGTCAAACTCACGCTGGAATGCTGGTGTTCTTGCTTGTACGCTGAGTACACACATTGCATGCCTTGACATCACCAGCATTTCGTCATAAATACTACATTTATGTTTATTTGTTTAGCAGATGGTTTGGGGCAAATGCAACTTACAAATAAATAAAATAAGCATTTAGATGAACAGAAACAGCAGTATATAGAGCCATGACAAATCTAAAATGTTTTTTTAGACACTACAGTTTAAAAATGTGTGGTGTTTATAAGGTGTCGGGTGCATATGGAGAGGAAAAGTCTCCTACAGGTTTGTAAAGCCCACTCACCTGTGTAAACTTAGTAAAATGATTTTAAATCAGTGAATATTTACTGACTTTCTAAAGAAAAGTGGATTTTCAAACTTGCGTTTGCTCTACAAAATGGATCATAGAGACTTCAGATTTGGCAAATTTATTATTCAGGACGTTTTAAATCAACGCACCAAATTTAAGCAATTTCCTATGGTTCATAGATTGCTTATGGGTAATATAAATAATAATATAAATTAAATTTAAAAGTGAGTAAACTAATTGCCTTAAACGTATTAAGTAAATGAACTATGTACATAATTATGAAATTAAGTTGTCAACTGAATGGCTCCAGTTTCAACTGGTTTAGTCACTTTTAAGGAAAAGTGAATTTTTACATTTGTGTTTGCTTTACAAAATGAATCATAGAGACTTCAAACTTAGCAAGTTTACTGTTCAGGACGATCTAAACCAACGCACCAAATTTCAGCATTTTCCTATTTATGGTTCATAGATTGCCCCTGGGTAATATCAATAATAACGTAAGAGAAAACTAAAAGTTACTAAAAGTGAGTAAACCAATTGCCTTAAAATTATTAAGTAATTGAACTCTGTATAATATAATTATAAAAATTAAATTAAGTCAAATCAGCACTATTTTTTACTTGTTTAGTCACTTTCTAAAGAAAATTGAGATTTCAAATTTGTGTTTGCTCTACAACATGGATCATAGGGACTTCAAATTTGGCAAGTTTACTACTTAGGACCACCTAAATCAATGCACCAAATTTCAGCATTTTTACTTACGGTTCATAGCTTACCCTTGGCTAAAATCAATGATAATCTAAAACAAATCTAAAAGTTACTAATAGTAAACCAGTTGCTTTTTTTTTTATAGTTTCAGTTTTAACCGGTTTAGTCACTTTTAAAGAAAAGTGAACTTTTAAATTTGTTTTTGCTTTTCAAAATAGATCATAGAGACTTCAAATACTTTACAGGACAGTCTAAACCAACGCACCAAATTTCCGCATTTTTCTATTGATGATTCATAGATTGCCTTTGGGTAATATAAATAATAATCTTCTAAAAGTTGCTAAAAGTGAGTAAACCAATTGCCTTACAATTATTAAGTAAATGAACTCGGTATATAATTATAAAAATTAAGTTAAGTCAAATTAATAGTTCCAGTTTCAACTGGTTTAGTCACTTTCTAAAGAAAAGTGAATTTTCAAATTTGTGTTTGCTCTACAAAATGGATCATAGAGATTTAAATTTTGGCAAGTTTACTATTCAGGACAATCTAAACCAACACACCAAATTTCAGCATTTTCCTATTTATGGTTCATAGATTGCCCTTGGGTAATATCAATAATAACGTAAGAGAAAACTAAAAGTTACTAAAAGTGTGTAAACCAATTGACTTAAAATTATTAAGTAAATTAATTCTGTATATAATTATAAAAATTAATATAAGTCAAATAACAGCTCAATTTTTTACTTGTTTAGTCACTTTCTAAAGAAAATTGAATTTTCAAAATTTCTGTTTGCTCTACAAAACGGATCATAGGGACTTCAAATTTGGCAAGTTTACTATTTAGGACCACCTAAATCATTCCACCAAATTTCAGCATTTTCCTACTTACGGTTCATTGATTGCCCTTGGCTAATATCAATAATAATACAAAAGAAATCTAAAAGTTACTAAAAGCGAGTAAACCAAGTGCCTTAAAACTATTAAGTAGATTAAAATATGTACATAATTATAACAAAAAGTCAACTTATTAGTTTCAGTTTCAACCGGTTTAGTCACTTTTAAAGAAAGCTAAATATTCAAATCTGTGTTTGCTCTACACATTTAGTTCTAGAGACTTCAAATGTGGCAAGTTTACTATTCTGGACAATCTAAACCAATGCACCAAATTTCAGCATTTTACTAACGGTTTATAGACTGCCCTTGGGTGCTCTCAATAGTAATATTAAAAAAATCTACCGAATATACAGTACTAAGGGCTACAGCATGATTGGTTCCCATCTTCTTATAAATTATTGAATAACATTTACTGGGATCTGGATATATTAGTATATCCTAGTATAGCTAATTAACTAACTAATTGCATTTTACTACTGGAGTTGTCCCTGAACACATTTGTGCTGCCTCGTCACACAGTATCTATTTAGTCTTAGACGGTGTGGAATGATGAGTGTCTGCATGTCATCTGCTGGTGTTTCAGGACAGGTGATGCAGGTCTTGTCATAAACACAGTCCACTTTGATCCCATTGTTCACAGCACTGTTAGTGTCAAATGTCCACTGCAGGTCTAGAGTGAAAATAAACACTAGACGTCTTCTTCTCTTTAGACTTGCTCGGCCATTGATTGAAACATCCTATTAATGGCAAGCTGAATTAAGTCTATATTGTGTTAAAAGGTCAGTTGCCTTACAGAATACATAAATAATTATTAGTCCTCCAGCGAAATCATTTTTAAATATTTCCTTTTTTAAATAGTTTGATAACTTTGTCTTCAGCTTTATGTATTTACGTTAGTCTTTCTGCCAATTAAATCCATTGGCACCTTCTATAAAGGTGTCAGTGGGTCAAATGCTGCATGTGACTCTGAGACTCTGATGGTTCTCGCGTTGGCGCATCTCAATGTCCTCATGCTATTCTGAGAGGAAACATTTTGTTTGGTGAGAATCCCATTTGAGGAATATAGAAAATAAACACTGGTGTGAAATATACTCTGCACTACTACTAGGTCAAGTAGGTCAAGTCAAGTGTTATTGGACAGAGAATCAAATTTCATTCTCAAAGTTAAAACTGAACTGCCTGGATTGCAGATGAGTAAGACTTTTCTGGAACTGGAGAGCGAATCAGAACTGACACAAGTTAAAAACCATACTTTTAATACGGTTCAATGCTAGGCCTTTTCCAATGACCTCTTCACACACTACTTGTCTTCATTTCTTTCAATATATGAGCTCTTGGAATTTCTGGAAAATTCCATCAACATAAACTCTTCACATGCCACATCTCCGACCGAACCTCTCAAGGTGAAAGATAAGTCAGTCCTCAAGTTTCTTTCCGTTGATTCTGTGAGCAGCCGTTTCGGGAAAGCGAGTGTCTCCGGGGCCCCTGTGACACCTGGCGGGCAGGAATCTGACATGGCTTTAAAGCGTCTCCAATATCAGACGGCAGTCCCGGAGCCAAACATAGCCCCTCCTCAGGACCTGCTGACGTAAACCCCACTGTACCACTTACATTTCCTGAGACCGGCTCATTCCATTCTTAATATGAGCCGCAGTTTGCAGAGTCCGTCAATGGAGAGGGAGAAAGAAATGGACGGATTATTTGGTTATCAAGGGATTTAACATGATTTTGTCCACTGGATTTGGTCTCCTTTTTGAATACTTGGCTTCATCTACACATTCATCCACTCCATTGTAAGGTTTCCCTGTTCTTGTCTCTTTGGTTTTACGCTGACGTACCATGAGTTCTGCTGACGCAAACACAGGCATGGACCTGCTCCAGGTTAGGATTGAGTCTTTGAGCAGTAAAATGGACCGGCTGATTAGTATCCAGGAAAAAGTGCTCAGCCGACTGGACGGCATGTCTCAGGACATCGACGGAATCGAAAGAGACGTAGAAACGCTGAAAGTAGAAAAGGAGGAGATCCACTTCCCTCCGGTGATCCGCACCGGCACAGGCAACCAGATGAAGGAAATGTGTGAAGAAATGAACAGCATCATGCTGGCGGTGAACCAGCGCTCGGAGCAGCAGACGCAGAAGCTGGAGGGAATGGAGAAACTGGTGATGAGCATCCAGCAGGCGGTCAGCTTCATCGGGGAAACCGTCAAAACTTCCAAAATTATGGATATTATGTTCAAAGGCCCGGCCTCTCGGAAGAGCAAAAGCGCTCCGGGACTCAAGTCAAAGGATAGCAAGATCAAACCCAGCAGCAAGTGTGAGAACAGTGAGGCGGTCAGTGCTAAGGTGAGTTATAGAGCTGTGGCAACACACTGTTCCAGAGATCGATCCTGAGAGTTACACAATGCATCGCTATTCTCTATTGAATAGATTCTGTGTTGTTTTTGACCACAGGAGGCGCTCTTTTAAACTGTTTTAACACCAGATGGCAATCTAGACTAGTTTTTAACAGCAGATGGCGCTCTGGGCTAGTTTATAACAGCAGATGGCGCTCTAGGCTAGTTTTTAACAGCTGATGGTGCTCTAGGCTAGTTTTTAACAGCAGATGGTGCTCTAGGCTAGTTTTTGCACAGCAGATGGCGCTCTAGGCTAGTTTTTAACAGCAGATGGCGCTCTAGGCTAGTTTTTAACAACAGACGGTGCTCTAAACTAGTTTTTAACAGCAGATGGCGCTCTAGACTAGTTTTTGCACAGCAGACGGCGCTCTAGGCTAGTTTTTTAACAGCAGATGGTGCTCTAGACTAGTTTTTTTTACAGCAGATGGCGCTCTAGGCTAGTTTTTAACAGCAGATGGCGTTCTAGACTAGTTTTTGCACAGCAGATGGCGCTCTAGGCTAGTTTTTATCAACAGATGGTTCTCTAGACTAGTTTTTTTTACAGCAGATGGCAAACTCGGCTAGTTTTTAACAGCAAATGGCGCTCTAGGCTAGTTTTTAACAACAGATGGCGCTCTAGGCTAGTTTTTAACAACAGATGGTGCTCTAAACTAGTTTTTAACAGCAGATGGCGCTCTAGGCTAGTTTTTTAACAGCAGATGGTGCTCTAGACTAGTTTTTGCAAAGCAGATGGCGCTCTAGGCTAGTTCTTAACAGCAGATGGTGCTCTAGGCTAATTTTTAACAACATATGGTGCTCTAGACTAGTTTTTTCACAGCAGATGGCGCTCTAGGCTAGTTTTTAACAGCAGATGGTGCTCTAGACTAGTTTTTGCACAGCAAATGGCGCTCTAGGCTAGTTTTTAACAACAGATGGTGCTCTAGACTAGTTTTTAACAGCAGATGGCGCTCTAGGCTAGTTTTTAACAGCAGATGGCACTCTAAACTAGTTTTTGCACAGCAGATGACGCTCTAGGCTAGTTTTTAACAGCAGATGGCGCTCTAGACTAGTTTTTGTACAGCTGATGGTGCTCTAGGCTAGGCTAATTTTTAAGTTTTCAACAGCAGATGAGACTCTGAGTTAGTTTTTAGGAATGTTTAACAGCAGATTGTGCTCTATACTGTTTTTTAAAACCAGATGGAACTCTAGACTAGTTGTAATCAGCTGACAGCGCTCTAGAATAGTTTTTAACACTTTTGAACAGCAGATGGTATTCTATACTAGTGTTTAACAGCAGACGGCGCTCTAGGTTAGCTTTTAAATTTGTTGTACTCTATGCTAGAGTTTAACAACAAATGTTGCTCTAGGCTAATTTTGAACAGCAGAAAAACTAGTCTAGAGCACTGTCTGGTGTTAAAAACTAGCTTAGAGCGCCATTAGCTGTTAAAAACTAGCCCAGAGAGTGGTTCACTAGCCTAGAATGCCGTCTACAGTAGTGTTATCTACTCTTTAAACTTTCCTAGAGCGCCATCTACTGTTCAAAACGAATCTTAGAATTAATTCAAGAGATAAAAGCTGCGCATTTTCTCAGGAATATTGCAGAATTGATCTCTCGAACTATTGTTTTGCCACAGCTCTAGTGAGTCATACAGAATATTTGGCATTTTGTGAAGAAAATGTTCATCGTCATACCAAAACAACTAGTGTCTTCATTCCAACTTTCCCATTCATTTCATGGAAACCTTCCCAAGATAGAAGGTACGGTGCCATTTTGAGGGCCCTTAAGAGACAGATACTCACTTGGCCATTAAACACAGATTTAATTCCAGACGGCGTGACTGAAATGATCTTTTTATCAGGCATCAGCATCACAACGGGGGACTTCAATTAGAAAAGTAAACAGACGAACTCAGCGGGAATTGTGTGTTTGTTTCAGATGGCGTTACTCTTCCACTCGCAGCCGTTTGCCCTTTAAAATAACATGTGTTGAGTTATTGTAGATACCCCACACATCATCAGCCAAGCTATCTATGTAAGGGAAAGACTTCAGCTGATGGCGCCACATTAGGAGCAGCATGTCGTTTCTGCATTCATTCGCCATATTTATATTCCATATGGCAGGCAAGAGGAGACATGCACATTCATTCCTCTAGTTTAAATGATGCAGCATTGAAATGCACCTCTTTATACTTGGCTCGAAGCATATTTATCGCATATTCATCATGCAACAGGTGTGTTTCCATTCAAAGATGCGAATTAAAGTGATGAGCTGAATAGAAATATTGCATACAATGTTAGTGAATAAATCTAATGAGAAACAAAGGAGAATATAATGATCACGTCCTGCTAAACATGCACAAATATTGCTCTTGATTTAGAGCAGGGGTGCCCAAACTTTTTCTTATGAAGGGACAAAGCATAACTTAATTGAGGGCTGTGGGCCGAAGTTAAATATACCATACTGTATTACATTACATATGCTCATTTGTTTGCTTATTATTTAGAAATAACTAGAAACATATGATTGCTTATTATTAATTTATTGCTTTTTTAACTAGTTTTTAACAGCAGATGGCGCTCTAGGCTAGTTTTTAACAGCAGATGGCGCTCTAGGCAAGTTTTTAACAGCAGATGGCGCTCTAGGCTAGGTTTTAACAGGAGATGGCGCTCTAGGCTAGTTTTTAACAGCAGATGGCGCTCTAGGCTAGTTTTTTTTTAAAGCAGATGGCGCTCTAGGCTAATTTTTAACAGCAGATGGTGCTCTAGGCTAGTTTTTAACAGCAGATGGCGCTCTAGGCTAGGTTTTTTTTTTTACAGCAGATGGCGCTCTAGGCTAGTTTTTTTTTTACAGCAGATGGCGCTCTAGGCTAGTTTTTAACAGCAGATGGCGCTCTAGGCTAGTTTTTAACAGTAGATGGTGCTCTAGACTAGTTTAAATCAGCGTACAGTGCTCTAGAATTGTTTTTAACACTTTTGAACAGCAGATGGCACTCTATGCTAGTGTTTAACAGCAACTTTGGTCTGCGGGTCCTACTTTGGCCATCTCTGCTTTAGAAGAAGCCACTGTGTTTTTTTTCTTCTCTAATAAATGAGATGCGCCTCAGAAGATACACAAAATGCAATGAACCTGTATTTTTTCTTCTTGGATTAAAATCTCAGTTGCATATTGTTTTGCACATCTTGATGTTTTTATTAAGCGTTTTATATGTGATAGTCCAAAATATGCATCCAGTAGATGGATAGATGGCTACTGTTTGCAATGCATTTTCAATTTAACACTCTGCTATCTTCTAACAAAGCCTATTTTGTCTGTAGAACAACTATTAAAGTCTTTAAATCGGTTCATGTGCATCTTAAATATAAAAATCTCCAAACGTCGTTGATTGCAGAATGTTTTTTACTTAAAGTTCTTGTCCTGTTTCTCATTTAAATATCTAAAAATGCTTAACTCAAGTTTTTTGTTACACAAAGTGTTTTGTTTTTAGAAATAAGTGAGTTTTTTCTTAAAATAAACAAGCAAAATAATCTGCCAATGGGGGAAGTTAAATAATAATATTCCAAACCAAAAGCAAGATGATTGTCCTCCCCCCAGCATTGGCAGATTATTTTGCTCTCTTCATTTTGACTTATTATTTCTGAAAACAACACAATGTTGTGTGCTTGTCTAAAAAATTCTTCTTGATTTAATTTTTTAGATATTTGGACTAGAAACAAGACAATAACTCATATTTTGCAGTGTATATTCTCACAGCATTTCACAAGAGTTGCTTGCTGACTCTAAATGAATTGTACAAATTCGCTTCACATATGAAAGACCTGCAAGTTTATTTACTAAGGTGAAATGGTTTCCTCTGTTTCCTTTTTGATTTAAAGCTGAAGGAACCCAAAGGTTTTCATCTGAGCCTCAAAGGCCTCAAAGCACAGAGGAAGAAGAAACCACCAGATTCAGCTGGTAAGTACAAAAACAAAACACACATACAAGATATAGCCTTGTTTTCAGAAATAATGAGTCAAAATGAAGTGCTTATTACTTTAAAACTAGCTAAATAATCTGCCAATAAGGTGAGTAAAATAATCCTGTTTTGTCTTTTTGACCCCTCTGACCCAATTGGCAGATTATTTAGCTTGTTTTAAGGGAAAACTCACTTAATATTGGCAAATTATTTCTTAAAACAAGACATTATGTTTTGCTTGTCAAGAAAAAGCTTCATGATTTGAAAATTAGTAGATATTTGGACTAGAAACAAGACTAAAAATCTAAGTATGAAAAGCACTTATTGCAGTGTGCCCCTGTATACACTTCTAGAGATTGTGAATTATGTACCCAGAGGTACGTATGGCTGCATTTTGTCTTTAAATCAAACGCTACTTGGGGCGTTTGCTTTTCGTGCTACCAGCTGCCCGCTTACCTCCATACAGACGGTGTCTTGAGAAATCGAGTCCCCACATGAGAATTGGGTCCGCCTATTGAACCTCGATTTATCCTATTGTTTCACTGGAGTTGTCATGGGTATAGTCTGTAGCACCAGATTATAAAGTGCAATATAACAACTATTAGCTCTGTGAAGTCATATTGTAATTTATATAATGCAAAAAGTGTAATAATGACCATTCTATTTCACCATTATAATGACATTTATAAGCGTGATATAGACACTGATGTATAATTAAAAGGCATGGGTTATGAAATCGAGGATTTATATTTCTGTTTAGTTAGCCTATGTGCTAGCATTATCATACATCTACCGTTAGAATGAAGAACGATTCCAGAAAGCAGATAAGACAAAAACCAAAAGATTAAATAAAGAAGTAAATAACAGGGCGAGAACGTGGTAACATCTGAAAACATGGTAAAAACCAGGTGAGAACTTTTCTTTTTATGGATTAGGGAAGAAGACGAGGGTGGGTCAGTCGATTGGTCAGTCAGTTAGTCAGCCGACAGCGGCCTCTGGTGGATTAACGTGAGAACAGCAGGTGCGAATGGCACTCGCGAGAGAAATTTGAGATCTGATAAAGCATACACAGCGCCCTCTGGTGGATTCACGTAAACAAAAACTGCAAAAAAGCATAGCTCCTGGGACGTATTTGGTGTTCTCCAGAAATGTATACATATTGATAATGAGCCTGGGTTGTCATTGGCAGATTATTTTGCTTGTTTTAAGGAAAAACCGGCTTAATTTTGACTCATTATTTCTGAAAGCAAAACAATAGTTTGTACTTGTCTTGAAAATGCTTCTTAATTTAAGACTTTTAAGATGTTTAGACTAGAAACAAGACACAAACTCTGAATAATCAAAGCATTTTTGCAGTGTAGTCAGTATCAGAGTGTGCAACCCAGACAATACACTGAAACGCACGTGTTACGCTCATATTCCAGCAGACAAAGTCTTTCTGAGGAAGCAGGCACTGTTGCTTGAAGAAGTTCAGAAACTCAACCAGGAGAACGCCGAGCGCTCCAAACCAGCCCAGACTCAAGATAATGACCTGCAGAAATCAGAAGATGCCTCGGTTACTCCACATCTGCAGGACATTATCCTGGAGGAAGCCAAACCGGTGGAAGACGAGCCGAGAAAGAAGACGAAAGTAGAGAAAAAGGTGACTCTGGATCTCAGAGAAGAACAGAAGAACATCCCAGAGACGAACACAGAGGAGATCCGAGAAGAAATGAAGAAAGCAGACACTGAGGAAATCCTGCTGAAGACCACAGAAGTGCTCAAAGATCAGAAAACAGACGATACGGAGAGCAAGACGACTACTGAGGGCCCTTCAGAAGCTGATAATATTGACACAAAAGCTACTGAGGGCCCTTCAGAAGATGTTATTACTGACAAAGAGACTATTGAGGGCCCTTCAGAAGCTGATATTACTGACACAGAGCCGCCAACAGCAACTGAGAACTCAGAAATAAGGTGAGCTTAAAGTCTGCATGAACTGTTGTTATTCTGTATTGTAGTTCCTGAGAAACTGAATATTAATGAGAAAAAAGTGGGCGTGGTTTGTTTTTATCTACTGCAAGCTGATTGGCTGTGGAAAAGTAGGCGTTTCATTCAGAGAGACGGGAAAAGGGTTTTTGGAGTTATTACAATCTAACAGACTCCTCCTCCTCCTCCTCACTATTTCTGTTTGTTGTTATGGCGATGTCAAAACTGACAGTTTGAGGGGCGTGGTTATGTGTTAGCCACACCCAATACCTAACAAAGCCTGATTGACTGCAGTGGAATAGTTTAGTCAACTGACAACAGATCCAGTAATCCTGAGTTTGTTCATCCAGAGTAACAGTACAGGCCTCCTCTGTCGTGTCTGTGTTACAGCAGCGAGTCTGAACAGGCAGATGAAGTGACGACCAGCAGCAAGCGACGCGTGACGGAGGAAGATCTGGGTTTGGAGGACCATAAAAAGAGTCGCGTTGAGGACGGAGAACAGCAGGAGCCGGAGCCGCCGGAGCCTGAAGATCTGCGCGCTGTGTTTAAAGCCGACGGTGTGGAGATCCAGATCGACTTCAGCAAACTGAAGCAGCAGAGCTTTGAGGATGAAGATGATGAAGATCACGGCGATCACTTCTTCATTGGTGAGATTCTCATTTGAGTCCAATATATATAAGCTTGGCAGGGTGACTTTTAAAATTAGGATAGCAATCTTGCGATATGTCTTAAGGATGCTGGGAATTGTTTTTTATATATTGTTGTTACAGGAAAAGACGTTGTTTTAACAAGAATAAAATCTAATTTTCAAGAAAAGATGTAGTTTTAATGAGAAAATATCTTATTTAATGACATTATTACAAGAAAATTATGTGTAAACTAAATAATTATGTCGTTTTAACAACATATTTTATTACAAGTAAAAACATCCCGAAATTACAAGAAAATATGTTGTCTTAATGATGAAATATGTTGTTTTAGCAACGTAATATCTCCTTACTACGAGAGAAGAGGTTGTCTTAACGAGAAAAGATCTTGTTTTAGTGACATATCGTTATTACCAGAAAAGATGTTGTTTCAACAAGAAAATATCTAGTTTTAACGACATAAAATCGCATTATTGTGAAGAAAATGTTTAAAAGAAATAATTGTCGTTTTATTAACAGAAATTTATTTAGAAAAAATTTTGGGTCCCACTGTATATTAAGTGTCCTTAACTACTATGTACTTACATCAAAAAATAAATACAATGTACTTACTGTGTTTATAATGTATTTGAGAACACTTGTGGTGCTCTTGAGTTGGGATAGAGGTTGGTTTATGGACAGGTTTGGTGATGTGGGTAGGTTTAAGGGTGGGTTAAGGTGTAAAGGATGGTTGACAGTGTATTTACCAATGTTATTATAGAAGTTAATTACAGATGTAATTACATACATGTATTTAATCAAGCATAAGTACACAGTAAATACATGTATTCACACAATAAGCACATTGTAACATAATTAACTCCTGTGTAAGTACATATTAGTTAAGGCCACTTAATATAAAGTGGGACCAAATTTTGTTTAAATGAAATACCTTCTTATTAATATGAGAAAAGCAGCAGTTTTAACAAAAAATTGCAGTTTTATTGACATATTATCTTGTTATTATGAGAAACTTGTAAAAGTAATAGATTACAATCTTGTACTATGTCTTGAAGGTGCTGTATCATTAAATTTATCGTTATTACGAGAAAAGATGTAGTTTAAATGAAATAACATCTCATTATTATGAAAAAATATGTAATTTTAACAGAATAATTATGTTGTTTAATGACTGAGTATTTCATTATTACGAGAAAAGATCTAATTTTAACTGCATATCTCATTTTTAGGACAAAATATGTTTTTGACAAAAATAAATCTTGTTTTAACTACATTAAATCTCTTTATTATGAGAAAAGACGTACTTTTAATGAGAAAATATCAGATTTTAACAACAGAATATCTCATTATTATGAGACAAATGTAATTTTAATGAAAACAAATCTTTTAATTACGAGAAAAGATGTCTTAACGATAAAATATATTATTTTAACTAAATAAAATCTCATTATTACAGAAAAAGATGTCATTTTAACAAGAAAATATCTTATTTTAACAAGAATAAATCTCGTTATTACCAGAAAACATGTCTTATTGAGAAAATATCTTGTTTTAATGACATAAAATCATTTTTTGAGAAGATATGTTGGTTTAATGAGAGAATATCCTGTTTGAACAACACAAAATAACACAAAAAAGATGTTGTTTTAACGAGAATATATCTAGTTTTAATGATATAAAAACTCGTAATTGCGAGTAAAAATGTTTTTATGAAATAATTACATAGAAAAAAAACTTAATTTTAGCAAAAAACATCACGTAATTAAAAGACATCTTAACGATTAAATATCTTGCTTTCATGACAACATCTTGTTATTACGAGAAAAGATGTCATTTTTACAACATAGTTGAGTGTAAAAAGTAAGATGTGTGTATTGAGTATAACTCCCCTGTCTGCTCTGTAACGTTAGTATTGATGGTCCTGTATGTTGTGCTGTCCCGCAGACTGCACGCCGCCTCCAGCCGCTCCGTTCAACCACCGCGTGGTGTCCGCAAAACCCCACCAGATCAGCACTTTCTACACCATCAACCAGCAGGAGGTTCTCGGAGGGTAAGGGTTATTTTCTCACCGCTGGAATGATTTCTCAGAACAGAATGTTTTAAATAAATGCAGGCTCTGTCGTCCGCTAATCCCCTCAAAGGCTAATTGCGTAACGCTACAGCCGCTCTCCCTCCACCCATTCATAACTTCAGAGTCGAGCCAGTTATTTATACATGTGAAATGGTAGCTCGGCGGCAGCTGGACGCTAATCACTAGGTGTTAATCTGCCTCTTCACTGGGAATGTTCTTCTTGTTGTTCATAGACTAGTGTCTGATAAATATGACACCGGCTGCTGCATCACCACTGTGTCCCTGCAGTGCTTCCTGCTGTGTCCTTATAAGGTCATTTTGCATAATCAGGTCTCCGGACACTTAAGCCACACTTAAGACGTTTAAATGTCACTGCAGGCCACTAAATGTCAAAGTGAGCGTCTGCAGGATCTCATCTCAGAGCCAGGAGCGCTTTCTTCTCCATCTTAGCTTGAGGACTCAATCAGCTGCTGCTTCTTTACCTCAATTTCAGTTTTACTGATTTCTAATGTACTTTAGTACTAAACGTAAACAGTAGAAGAAAATATATACTTTTATAATAATAAAATTCAAAGTTGTTCATTTATATTTAGCACCATCAGGATCTCCTGTTTCTGAATCAGTAAATGCATTTGTTTACTGGAGACTCCCTGTGAACGAATCATTTTAATTGGTGAGTCACTACCCAGAGAATCACTCTTAATTGGTCATTTGAATCAGTGAGTCCCTACCTAGAGTCTCACTCTGAACGAATCATTTGAATCAGCGAGTCCCTACCTAGAGACTCACTCTGAATGATTCATTTGAATGCGAGTCTCTACCTAGAGACTGACTCTGAACAAATCATTTGAATCAGCAAGTTTCTACATGGAGACTCCTCTGATTTAATCATTTAAGTAAGTGAGTCACTGTCTAGAGAACCATTCTGAATTGGTCATTTGAATCAGTGAGTCTCTACTTGTAGACTCTGAACAGATCATTTGAATCAATGCGTCTCTACATAGAGAATCACACTGAATTGATCATTTGAATCAGTGAGTTGCTACATGGAGACTCACTCTTAATTGATCATGTGACTCAGTGAGTCGCTACATGGAGACTCTTTCTGAATTAATCATTTGAATAAGTGAGTCACTACCTAGAGAACCATTGTGAATTGGTCATTTGAATCAGTGAGTTGCTACACGGAGACTCGCTTTATATTGATCATATGAATCAGTGGAGACTCTGAACAGGTAATTTGAATCAGTAAATTTCTACACAGAGATTCACTCTAAATTGATCATTTAAATCAGTAAGTCGCTACCTAGAGAATAACTCTGAATTGATCATTTGAATCAGTGAGTCACTACCTAAAGAATCACTCTAAACAGGTCATTTGAATCAGCGAGTCGCTACACAGAGACACACTCTGAATAGATCATTTGAATCAGTGAGTCAGTACACAAAGCCTCACTCTGGAATTGGATGCTGGTTTCTATCTTTGAATTGGTGACTATTTCTCCAGTCCAAACTGTTTTACCTTCACTACATTTTAATATTTAGTCTGGGAATGTAGTGAAGTAAAAGTTTGCTGATTTTTCTCAGTGCCTTCATGCTTTTTTGGCTGTTTTGCAGGGGGCGATACGGTCAGGTTCATAAATGCATTGAGAATTCCTCTGGACTGACTCTGGCTGCCAAAATCATCAAAGCCAAGAGTCAAAAAGAAAAGGTACAAAGCAATAACCTGCGCTTTTATTTGTGTGTGTAAATGTAATATTATTTTTAATATATTGCACATTTACTGGTTTAAGTTTACTTTTAATCATGTGACATTATCAACTTACTAACAAGGAAATTAGAAGTAAAGTATTGCACAGACAGAAAAAAAATATATACCCACATAAAAATTCTATAGATTTTTTGAACCACACTATAGTAAAGTGTATTATACTGTATCTACAATACTTAACTGATGAATGCTCCAGCATACTACTAGTAACTATAGTGAACTAATAATTAATACTGTAGTATACTTTAGTTTTTACTATAGTAAACTGAGGTGTGTTGTAGTATAATACACCCTATATTTGTAGAAAACTACAGTATTGGGTCGTTTGTTTATATTAATGTAGTTGTGTTACCATAGCAACTGTGGAATCACCATAGCAGATCAATTACTAAAGTTCTGGTGTAACCATAGCAACTGTAGAATCACCACAACAGAGCAATTACTATAGTTGTTGTGTTACCATAGCAACTGTAGAATCACCACAACAGAGCAATTACTATAGTTGTTGTGTTACCATAGCAACTGTAGAATCACCACAACAGATCAATTACTATAGTTGTTGTGTTACCATAGCAACCGTAGAATCATCAAAGCAGATTAATCACTATAATTGTTGTGTTACCATAGCAACTGCAGAATCACAACAGATCAATTGCTATAGTTGTGTTACCGTAGCAACAGTAGAATCACCACAACAGATCTGTTAGTTGTTGTGTTACCATAGCAACTGTAGAATCATCAAAGCAGATTAATTACTATAGTTGTTGTGTTATCATAGCAACTGTAGAATCACCACGACAGATCAATTCAAGTACTTGACTATAGTATGGTTCTAAAACACTACAGTATTTACCATAAATGACTCTAGTTTGTGTCATGTGGGTGTGCAAAATATATTATAAAATATTACATATAACCCCCCCCAAATCATCACAAATAAGCACATATATATATGTAATATAGTAATATATATATAGTAATATATTAACTATAATGTGATATATATATATGTTCATGCATCATGGTTTGGGCTGATTGTAAATGTGTTTTGTCTGGCAGGAGGTGGTGAAGAATGAGATCCAGGTAATGAACCAGCTCGACCACGCTAACCTGATCCAGCTCTACGCAGCCTACGAGTCCAGAAACGACATCATCCTCGTGCTGGAATAGTACGTGCTTTTCATTGCTTCATAATTATCGTTAGTTGTGACGGCAAAACTTATCATTGATCTATTGAGTAATATTAACTAGCAGCATGTCCTGACTACACTGCTTTCCTTGGAGTGTTTGTCTTGTTTCAAGTCCAAATATCAAACAATTCATAAATCAAGAAGCATTTTCTGGACAAGCACAACATATAGTGTTGTTTTCAGAAATAATGAGTCAAAATCAAGCGAGTTTTTCCTAAAAACAAGCAAAATAACCTGACAAATAATCTGCCAATGGGGTTAGCAAGATAATATATAGGATATGTTTTGGTTGTACAATTCTATAATGCATTAATTTAGTTAATTTTATATTGTATTGATTTATTGACTTATTTTTTTATTTTAGTTAATGTTTTTTGTATTGATTATTTTGATGTGTAGTCTGCAATGCTTGTTATTTGTTTATCCAGGACACTCCTAAAACAGACATTACAAATCTCAAGAGGCTTTCCTGCCAAAATATAGGATTAAATAATAAAAAATAAAGACATACACAGATTATTAAATGCATTTTGAGGGTTAAAACGTTGATATTTAATAGTGAGTGTGTCAGTGCTTCAGCTGATACTTAGAGTCTGTTTGGTGAGTGTACCTGTGTGTGTGTGTCCAGTGTTGACGGAGGCGAGCTCTTCGACAGGATCATTGATGAAAACTACAAGCTGACGGAGCTGGACACGGTGATGTTCATCCGGCAGATCTGCGAAGGCCTGCGCTACATGCACAAAATGTACATCCTCCATCTGGACCTGAAGGTACGACATGTGACATGCGGTCAAAAACACACACATCTTAAACGAGACCTATTCTGCCCCTTTTTACACAACCCAGGCTCATTCTGAAAGCGTAGCCCCTGCAAAGTTTCTGGAGACCACAATCAGGAGGTAAGTCAGGCTGTATTTGATTTTTTTTTAAGCGAACACTACGGGACGATGTGACGCCGTTCTTCTTCACGCTCGCCGACTGACAGCTCACCTCTGTGTGGAGGGCTTCCCCGCCGCAACCAGTTTGTCCGGTTAGCTCGTCGTGTTACGTCGGCGGAGCGGAGAGCCAGAGCGGGGAGCCGACCGGGACGACCGGTTTCGAGTTCGGGGAAGAGTGGTTCCAGAAATCAGATGAGACAAAAAACTGAATCCAAAAAATAAAGTGAACAAGTTCGTAACAGTGTCAGAATGCGGTGAATCTAAAAACGCGGTCAAAATCAGACGAGGGCTTTTCTTTTTCTGGACGGCTTTTGTAAATCTTCGCTTGGGTTTAGGGAGGGAAGCGAGCGAGCAGGTGGGCGGGCCATTCGGTAAAACCGGTTGGGTTTAGAGAAGGAGGAGGAGGGTTTTGGGCCGATTGGCCCGTTGCCCTGACTATCATTCGGTCAGTCAGACAAATAGTCGCTCGACAGAGGCCTCTGGCAGCTTTACGCAAGAACAGCGTTCGCACTCGCGAGAGGCGTTCGAGATACGAAAAAGCTTGCATAGCGACCTCTCGCGGATTCGCGAAAACAAAAACTGCACAAATACGTATCTCCCGAGACGTATTTCGCGGTCTTCAGAGACGTCTGCGGGGCTACGTTTCCAGAATGAGCCTGGGTTATTTTTACAAGATGTAAAATAAATCTCTAGAGTGTGTGTGTGTGTGTGTCTGTGTGTGTGTGTGTGTTTGAGCTGAGAACAGCACACAGATAATGTTCTTCAGCTCTCTGAAACTGACCCTTTCAGACTTTGATCCTAATTGTGATGTTTTGGTGACTGTTGCTTTAAATGCAAATGAGATTGTACTCTATTCAGAAGAGGGCGGAGCTACTAATGCCTATGTGTAAGCATAGTGGCAGATTCAAAATCAAGACTAAGGTCCTTTGCCAATGAGGGGGAGATGGGCACTAGTGGGCGGGGCTTTCCCTCTCTGATGACACATACAAAGGGAGAATGTCCATCAAAGTGTTTCTGCAGACTGATTTCATCACGCCTTAATAAAACCAACACAACTCATTACTGATGACCATTAGAAGCTCGATATATAAACACATCGCCGACACACAACTGGGTTTAAAGCCTGCTTAAAAGTCATTTTGGCATAATAGGTGCCCTTTAAAAATACAGGAGGAACTAGTGGATGAAGGAGGTATTGCAGTCCAAATTTAAAACATTGGAAAGTTGTCGTTTTTTCTTCGACGACAGCTTGACGCACACTCAGGTTGCCAGATTGACGACACAAACAGAAGCGAGCAGGCTGCTGATGATTGAGTCCTGTTCCATGTCCACATCGAAATGCTATTGGCTGTTTTTTAAAAAAGAGGAGGAGCTACACTATGTCCCACCCTCTCTTCATGTATTGGTTGAGATTACGTTAAACATAGAATAAAATACACATTTCAAAGCACTTCATGGGGCCTTTAAATATCTGCAAGCATTTATTCAGTTTCCTTCAGCTCAGTCCCTTTATTCATCAGGGGTCCTCACAGCGCAATGACCCAACAACTATTCCAGGATATGTTTTACACAGCGGATGCAGTTTCAGCAGCAACACACACACATTCATTCACACTCATTCATACACACACACACACACACACACACACACACACACACACACACACACACACACACACACACACACAGCTTAGTTGATCAGTTCCCCTATAGCGCATGTGTTTGGACTGTGGGGGAATCCGGAGCACCCGGAGGAAACACACACCAACACAAGGAGAACATGCAAACTCCACACAGAAACACCAACTGACCCAGCTGGGACTTAAACCAGTGACCTTCTTGCTGTGAGGCCACAGTGCTAACCACTGAGTCACCATATAATATGCATTTTTAATGCACATAAAAACATCATGCAATTGCCTTACACAGGTGAGTGGGCTTGATAAACCACCTGTAGAAAACAAACTCTTTCAACTCTCTGACACTTTAACACACACTTGCACCAGCTTTTGCACCAGACACTTTTTTACAATCACTCCATATCTCAAAAATAATAAAAAACACTGTGCATTTATGAAGTGTGCCTCATACTGGTGAGTGGGTTTGACAAACCACCTGTAGAAACACTTTTCTCTCTCCAAAAAAACAAACAAAAAACTGGCATTTAATTCTCTGAGCACAAACAGTTCCTTAGTATAATCAGCACTTGTGTGTATTGCTTCTTGTTGAACACTGAAGTCCTCCTCACATGTGTGTCACTTTGGTGAAAGCTTCTGTTTATATTTGTAAAGGTCATGTCCTGTGTGTTTGTGTGTGTCCTGCAGCCGGAGAACATTCTGTGTGTGAGCAGAGTCACTAATAAAGTCAAGATCATCGACTTCGGCCTCGCCAGAAAGTAAGTCTCATCTTAAACATGAGAAGTGCTGGTGTGATGAGTTACACCTCTCCTACTTGGAGTTTTGAGTCTTGTTTCTAGTCCAAATATCTAAAAAATCTTAAATCAAGAAACATTTCAAGCACAAAATATTGTATAGTTTTCAGAAATAATGAGTCAAAATTAAGTGAGTTTCCCCTTAAAATTCATAAAGATAATGGATCATGTGAGAAAGAGTCGATGTAGATTTTAGTGTGAACTAACCCTTTAATTGTCAGACACAGTATATTTAGAGAAGTCATTGAAATACGGCTTTAATGAGATGTAATAATGATGTTTCTGAAGTGTAATTGAGGATTATTATCGTCTCTGTCAGGTATCAGCCCAGAGAGAAGTTACGGGTTAATTTCGGCACGCCGGAGTTTCTCTCTCCTGAAGTGGTCAACTATGATTTTGTGTCCTTCAACACAGACATGTGGAGTTTGGGCGTCATCACGTACATGCTGTGAGTCTTGTGTGTGTGTGTGTGTGTGTGGAGGATAGTGAGTAAAATATGTTTATATTGGCTTCAGAGAAGCTTTAAAGCATAAAAAGTAATTTATTTTAAGCTTTAAACAATGAACAATACTAATACCAGCATTTATTGTTTACTATTTATTAAATTAATTAATAAATATCAGTTATAAATATATAATAGTAAAAATAAACCTTTTCTCATGCATTAATAAAACTAACATTAGTTAATGCACCGTGAGTTAACATGAACTGAGCTTATTTTCACTTAAAAATGTGAACAAATATGAATAAATCCTGTCATAAATGTGTTATTCATGGTTAGTTCATGTTAGTAAATGCGTGATCTAATCTGACCTGATCATTTCTCAGATTGACTAGTCATTTCAGAGTAAATGGGTGTGTTTTTCAGTGTGTGTGTTGTGTGTTTTCTAGGCTCAGCGGTTTGTCGCCGTTCCTCGGGGACGACGATAACGAGACGCTGAACAATATTCTGGCCTGTCAGTGGAACTTCGAGGAGGACGAATTCTCTGAAGTCTCAGCAGAAGCCAAAGATTTCATTTCCAAACTCCTGGTGGTGGATAAAAGGTAAACAGGAGGATAAAACACACATTAAAGGGACGTTTAGCTTTGTTTTTCTGCACTTGATGTGTGTGGAAAGAGTTGAGAAAGAGTCAAAGCAAAAACATTGTTTATTATAAATAGTGTCGATATTTATGAAGGTCAGCACAAGTTTGATAAATGCAGAGCCTAAAATATGAACAAAATGTGAGTATTTTATGTGAAACAGCATTACCTTTTATATTAATTCAATCACGTACTACATGCATTTAAAAACACATAAAACTGTTGTCAATAAAAGGGAGCGTTAGAAGAGTTTTGACATTCAAAAGCAAAGAAAAATATATGCAAAAAAAAAAAAAACGATATATATATATATAATATAATATAATATAATATAAAATATATATTGCATTACATAATATAATGTATTAATTTTCTTGTTCCCAAAACAAATATTTGTGTAATAAAAAAGGTTATAATAATATGTTTATATAAAATTTATTAAAATGTTTATGTTTTTGTATTATTATTATATAAAAGGCAATTACGACTGTTTGTAGCTTTAGTGTTAATTCTTCAACTTAAATTTTATTTTTTATTTTTATTATTATTATTCTATAAGAACATTTTTTGTTATTTTAATATTCATATATTTTTTCTTTGTAAAAAACTATTACATTTTTAATACATTTTCCTTGTAAAAAAACTATGAATATTCCAGTAAAAAAAATGTTTGTAAATTAATTAATGTGTTCTGTAATATTATTATATAAATGGCAAAATTACTATTAAATATATAAAATTATTTCAACATTTATATAATTCATTTTACTATTTATATAATAATTTTTCATTCTAGAAATCAAGTATTTAAATTAACAATTGTTTCTGTGATAAACAATAGTTTTAAATAAATTAGTAATTTCTTTGTAAAATTATTACATAAATTGCAATTACTATTAAATATGCACAATGATTTTAACATTGATAAAATCATTTTACTTATTATATAATAATTTTGTCTAAAATTTTTTTACAAACAATTAATTCTGTATTAAAAATAGATTTAAATGAGTTAATATGTTTATTTTTGTAATATTGTTATAGAAATGGCAATTACTATTTGTATACTTTAGAGTTACAGTGTTGTTCTCTTTCTCTTTTTTATTTGTTATTATATTACAAAATAATAATTATATAATAATAATAATAATAATTATTATTATTATTATTATATAATAAATA